GACATGAAAATAATAAAATTGTGAAGACAGAAGAATTTTTGCACCTCATAGGAAACAATTTCAGGGTTCAGTTATCCCACTGTGTGTAAGCATGTGCTTTAATTTTTAAGAGTTATGCAAGTTATGCAAAACTAAATGCAAATTAATGCCAGGAGACCCAGTTTAATGTTACTATAAGAGGTTAGAGAGGCTAAGGAGAGGACAGGGAAGCAGTGCATGATGTCAGGTTGAAGGCACTGCTATGTTAGCCAGCTGCCAAAAGGGGTAAAGGAAAGTGGGGACATGCTGCTTCTGGCCCATCAAACCATCAAGAAAAAGCATGCCTGTGTAACATGAGTGCAAAAAAATCTGATGCTATAGGCACGTTGTTAAAGTGTTATTAACTATCACGGCAACTGTTAAATCCAGATAATCTGAAAAGGGGAATGAAAACTCTATTTTGTGTCCTGTTAAGACAGATAGTGACAACTACAAAACTCACCTCATTCACCCCTTTTCCAGGCTGCACTGGATTTGTTGCTGTGACTGAGCAAATGCAGGGCCAGGGGCAAATAAATATAATCAATGGGTGAAGTCTTGAAAAATCAACATCAGAAGTTGACATTTGGAGTTAGATCCTGTGTTTATATGTGACAGCCTTGTGACAGTAATGTCTACAGTTTAACACAGAGGACTCAGCATAGACCTCCCAAGGCATTTAAGCATCTAAGTCCTCCTATAATTCAAAATTCCAGATTCAACTCTAGTTATCTGCTGTAGCAAACCCAGTGCCATTCTATACGGACATACTGTGAGAGAGCAAATGCTCAGACTCCCTTTGCTTAACATGAAGCAGTTCATGAGAACACAGGATTTAAAAAAATACAAGAGAAACACTTCAAGAGGTTATTTTGCTCACAGAGCAAATCTGTTTGGCTTTTGGACTATATGTTTCACAAACTTGTCATTCTGTCCACAAGATTTGAAAACACAGTCATTGATTTTGTAAGCTGCTTCTGGCACTTGCACAAATATCAGAACAGCTTTTCAAAAAGTTAAGCATCATGTAGTCAAAAGAACATTTTTTAAGTGAACTTATCTGCTCTTGCTAAATCTGTTTCACTGAAATAATCATGGTTATTCCAGGAATGGTATCTGCATACTGATCTACTGAAGCAGGTCTTTCTGTTTGAGACTTAGGTTGGAGATAGCATATGTTGCATTTTCATCAGCAAAAGATTGACACACAAATGGCAGCATGAAATTGTGGAAGACCTATTAATATTCCTACTTGGTATGGGTAAGATAGAAATATAGAGATTGTAAGCCATGATATTAGGGCATAATCAAACCTTACAGGATTGCCCGAGCCCTTGGCATGTAAATTTTAAATTCAGCTCTACATCCCACAGAACATCCTACATGATGTTGGTGCATCTAGCAGATGTTAAGCTATTAAAGATCTGACATGGTTAGTTACATGGCACAACACTCATAATTATTGTTTGCTATGTCAGTGAAATACAAGGGGGAGGAAATGACAAATTCAAACTCAAATATCACCAGACGTGCGTTATGTGTGTCTGGGAAGGAGATAGAGTGAACTCCCCTTCAGGCAGGGATGCTGCTCAGGTTCTGTTATTCAGATTGTGTTGTCTCTTGATCTTAGCACCACAATCCTTCTGTGTCAGATTAAAATATTTTTAACTTCTTTTGATTCTTTACCCTCCTCTTCACCTTTGTTTCCATCTGTTACTGAACAACAATATGTCTGAGCTACAATTGCCTGGGAGATGACAACAGGGAGAAACACAGTAGTAGACAGGAGAGATGCTTTCCTGGTGGGAATGGGCTGTGCCAACCTGTGGACCATCACACATGGTTCTGGCATGGGCTCTGACAGGAATTACACAGTCATAGTTACATAGGTGTTAAAAAGGCACCAATTTGGTCTCTAAACCCATAGGCTAAAATAAAACAAAAACACTTAGCCACCAATATTCCAAGGACAAAGAACACTTGTTCCAGTGCATCTTGGGAAATATGGAGAGAATTAAGCTTGCAAAAGACAGATTAGAATCATAAATGAATCAACATGTGACAGTGATGCAGTCATTCCTCACACCAAGAATACGTATAAAACCATTATCTCATTATTTCACAAAGATTGTGAGCAAAACCCAAATTCAGATCCACACATTGTTTGGCTATCTAAAGCCTACAAGAACATGTTGCAGGTCCAAGATTAGAGACCTAAATAACTTTGCAGATTCAACTTCTGATCTTGTTCTCTAACTTTCCTTTTCCTTTGTACATTTTGCTTGAGGATATCATGTATGTATTTACTGTTGTTTTTTCCTTTGGTGCAGGAGAGTGTGTGTGGGTATCCAGATATCTAGAAAATCTTTCTGAGCTACTATTCCTTGTAAGAGTTTTCTTAGTACATGGTTTAGCTGTGGATTCTTCTCTGTCCTCAAATTTCCTCAGCCATCAATTTGAAATGCTTTCAAAAATACAAAAAACTGTTTCTCTACTGCAGCTGCAGCAGTCTCATGCCTTCTGAAAGATCAAAGGTTATTTTACATAGTAGATTTGCAGCTAAATGACTTACTTCACAAATTCATGCTTACAGCCTTCACAGTATTTTGATCATTGTTCAAATATGACAGATGAAAATTTGCTCTTCTTGTTACTGTAGGACCAGAGTGAAAAAATGTCCTTGGAAGAGATATAATTCCAGAAGCACTTAGACTGCTTTCCTAAAACAACTAAAAGTGCATATATGGACATCCCATAATTATAAACTAGTAATAATGCATTAGTTACTTTTTATAGTAAGTCTAAGTACATACTATATTTATACCCATGAAATCTAGCAAAATGTATGTTCCTTGTCTAGATATCCATGCTGAAGAAATAATGAAGGTCTTTTACATAGCCTGCAGCATGCCAAATCTAATTCTTACTTTTTCCTTGAAGGAATATATTTTGATTTTGCTGTGAACATGTGTCTTTCACACCTGCTCTGAAAAAGAGCCTATACACCGCACAGTTTAAAAGAAATTTCTCACCTTGAACTGCAGTGACATTTTTAGAAAGCTGGCAGAAGTTCATCTTGGGCCTTTGTCCAGAGTTCAGCAGCTCCCAGGTTTCTTACCAAGTTCATCCCAGAACCCACAGTCGTTTTTACCTCATTTTTTTACCCCATCTTAGTAGAAGCTGTGGCTCTTAGCTCCTGAACAGCCTTCTCTGAACTTCCTGGTGAAAGCACACATGACTACACAGTTTGGGGCAGAATAATGTCATTATTTGCATTGTAGAATACAGATGCTTATAAAATATTGATTGTTATTGCATGAAGCCATTTTGGCTTCTCAAAAGTGCCTTATTTCTGCTTTTCAGGATGTAGAGAGTTCTCAATTGTCTTAAGGTGACAACAGGTAGAATCAGGTACTTCTAGTGGATATTTGTGATGGAGTATTGGGTTAAGCTGCAAGATGAGAGGGTTCAGAGGGATTGCAGGGGATTTCTGTGGGTGCCAGCAACCCACAAGCAGAAATGACTCCATGTACATGCAGCAGCTCTCTCTCACTCATCTGTGCACATCAAACTGCAATTTTGCTTTGAAAAAAGTAAAAGAGGCTTGCACAAGAGAAGAGGGAAGTTATGAGTGTCTTGGCTGAAAGAAAATTTAAATTGCCCTAGACCTGCATGACTGTGAGTAGGATGGTGATACTTATGCATGTTTACTTTGTCTGACAACACTTAGTGAGTTACAGAGCGTTGATGGGCAGCTAAGTCAAGAAGAAATTAAGCACTTTTAAAAAAAGGAAAATAAATTTTCAAGCAATACTGAGTCTGGATGTTAGTGATATTTCTCAAGTTCATATTATGTTTAGAATGTATTGTGCAAACTTATATAAATTACTTTTTGATAGTGGTAATGGGAGAAAGATTGAATGAGTATTGAATTAATGTCTCTGTGTATTAATTGCCAAATGTGTCAGGCTTCTAGTTTCCCTAGCTATAAATTTTTTTATGGTTGAGAGAGTACAGATTGGTTATTTTTTTCAGTTTAGTGTTGATGACTAAGATGGACAGGAAACATAATATTTTATATCTATATGTATATAATATATAATATATAATAATTATATATATATATAAATATAATATAATCTTTTTATATCTATATGTATTTGCAGAATTAGAAAGAAATACTTTTGGCACATTTGTTTCCTTTAGTGGTTTGAGTAATACTCAAAAGAAGTTTAATTATGTGTCCTCTTATTATGTTTGAATTACCTTCCCTCTAATGATTAAAGCTCAATGATGAAAAACAAAGCTCAGTACTATTCATATCTATTGTTGTCAAGGAAAAAGGGAGAGAATAGTGACAATGAAATATCAGACATTATCAGTGAGAGACTTACATTTTCCATCAATAGAGCTGAATGTGCCAGTCTAAAGATCCTGTGAGTTTTTCTCTATGATTCTATCCCCATGAATCTTTATTGCCATTGATAGAAAATAGGAATTCACAACCTGATTCGCAGATCCTGATCTAACAGAGCCAGTAAACACGTTAGGTAATTGGATAAATTCTCTCTTTAGACCCTGGTCCATGGCTGAAAAATTGGATGTTTACATCATATGGTAAGCAGCAATGCTGAATATTCAAAATCAGATGTTTTCACCAAAGTTTAACCAAACAGACTGCCAGTATAACCAAACTAGTGCCAAAGATTACAGCCCTCCTGCATTATTTTTGCAGGTTTCCATGGCACATGAAATTCAGTACCCTAAATGATGGGGGAGAGTAAAGGTTGCTTCACAACTGAACAGTTGCTCCAACCCATTTAAAAAACCACTTAAATGTCAGTGTAATTTTTCAAACACAACTGATTTTCGTGCTCTGATTTTAATGTAGCATAGAGAACTAAGATTTTATCCAAAATATTTCTCTTTTTTCAACTCCCAAAAAAATCTTCAGTGAAAATAAGCAGTACAGAAAGTGCTTCTTTTTCTGAAAACATTCAATCCCAACTTTTGTAGAAGCAGGTACAATACTGTTACAAGATGCTGTCCTCTCTTCATTTTGTCTTCTGAATTCCTATTCCTGAAGCTGCTTTCCAAACTTAAAGATGTCACGTGTTTCTTAGTAATTTTAAGAGTTGTTGGAAGGAAATGAGGATTATAAATGGTGCACTGATTTTTTAAGTATTGTCGTATGTGTTTCTACTGGATAGATGAATCACTCCAGGTTGTAGACAGATTAATTACTGAAATATAAAAAGTGTGTAGGAAATATAAATTACTAATTGAATAGGCTAAAATTGCAAAGCTTAAAAATATTAATAAACAGAAGGGTGATACCCACACTGGGAGGACTGAAAAGCCACAGAGTTGAGATTCTTGCCAGTTCATGAATCATTCAGAGATTATTTCTAACTGAGGCACGTGGAGCCATGCACTGGAGCTGTTCACTGAGTAGCCTGAGTGGTTGTTTGTTGGACAGCAGCACAGCAGGAGTGGTGGTGCATATTTGGTCATGGGGAATGCTCTGTGTTCCTCAGCTGGAAAACTGATGTAGCAATTGGAGACAGGAATGGCAAAGAAAGTCATAAATTTAGCCACTGCACTTCAGTGGATCAAATGGAGATCACCTATAGGGTTCAATGCTGCTGGTCTTGAGCATCTGTCATTCACCCTGTTCTGACCTCTCCGAATTATCTGAGGTAGGAAAATGTGTACAGGGAGAAAAATAATTCCTCATGCTGGCTTCCACAAATGTAACACACTGCACCCTGGTAATGAAAAATAGATATAAATATCATTCACATCCTAGGGAAACACTGTCAGTAAAGTTGGTGGAACGTTTCGACTAATGAGAGTTATGGCACAGGCTCACAGTAGCTTAAAGAAGAGGTCAGATGCACGCAATGAATCAAGCACCACAGGGTCCTCCCCTGCTCAATGCAAGGGGCTGGATCCAGCTAGTACCTTGATCCTTTCAATCCCATCATTTGTGATTTGCCATTAAAAAGGCTTCCTTGCAGAGAGCTGACAGAAAAATCCAGCTTTGTATGCAGGGGAGCTGCAGGGACCGAGTCGTTATTGTTCTGTCATTGTCTAAAAAGCCTCTGTGTGCCAGTAGATATTTATAATCTGGCATGCTTTTTAATAAGTGTGTTATCTCCCAGAAAACAGCATGTTTGATACAATTCTAAGTGGGATATTTAAACACAAGTTTCATGTGAATGACAGAGCTTCCAGGGGAGGTATGTGACAAGCTGTGCTTGCAAGACTCTGTCTGCTCAGGAACACACTGGACAAAACAACCAAGCTGCCACCTTGACTGGATCTCTTCCTGCTAACAAATTAAAGGAACAAAAATGAGAACGTTAAATAAAGATTTCTGGATGCCATGGATTGAGAGAGGACCAGTATGCCTGGACAGGAACATGAGTGTTTGCAGTATGAAAATCAAGTCAGGGCAGCAGCACTTGCCCTATACAAATTTAATTTGGTCAGACTCACATAACACAACTACCAAGCATAAAAAGATCCCTTTGCAGTAATTTTCTTACAGCAGAAGATTCATTTTGGCTTTTCACATGCAGTGCCACATTCTCAGTAGGTGCAAAATATCACATAAAGCACAGGATAAAATTATCTGAATGTTTCTAACAAAATTGAAGGAATTATAAAACTTGTAAAGAGGAAATACTTCTCATTTTGTTCCTTACTCCTTCCCCCCAATCCCCAGCTTTCCATGACATAATATATATGTAAGGCTTTTGTTTGAAAAGCCATATTTATACTTCCTCCAATAAACAAATATGAGATCATGCTGTGTTGCTGGTAACATGATAATTAGCTTTGCTGCAAAATGAGAGCCTGAGGTGATGTAGTGGTAGATTAGGGCACACAAACCACATCCCTAAGCATTTTTCAGCAATCAGATGAGGAAATGATGAGATTTACATTTAGAACAGCTACAGAAATAAAATATCTCTTCATAGCTCTCTCGTTGCAACTGGAGCTCTGTGTGTTTTACCGTGTAGTGATGCTAGATTTCCTTGTTCATGTTGCTGAAAAAACGAGTAGGTCATTGATGCTGCATTTGTAGAGTGCTCTTGAAATGTTTCTGTTTCACTTAAAGCTCATAAGCACTTTCAGATAAAGAGGGATAGACACAGCAGTGAGCATCATCTTTTGAGCTGCATGTCAAAGCAACAGAATTTAATCAGTATCACTTTTCTTGCAGGTCAGCATAAGAGCCAAAGACAAATACAGCACCGGATTGAAAGATATAGTTCAGACCAGCTGGATGATCAAAAAATTAAAACACAGAAATCAGCATGATGAGAAACTTCTACGTTTAGCTTTGTTAGTGAAAGGAATTATCTACCCTGCCGTAGTTTATTGGCTTCTGAAAAGCTGGTTTATTAAAACACACAACAGTGAAGAGGTATTGATTGATATTTTCTTTAAAGGTCTTGTAAGAGTCCCATTATGATATAATTTAACAGCAAAGAGACTTTTCAAAGGGGAGAAGTAAATCAAATTTCAGCCAACAAAATTAATGGTATCATACTATACTCCAGCTATTTGGACTGTAAATTGCATAGGTCTATGATGGTAATTTTGTTATAAAATATCAGTATTTTCTAGCAATCTTATATGGACGTGACCAAAATTACCTTCAGTGAATACTAAGCTCCATGATTCCTTTCCATCTGGTGCCCAGGTAACAGCAGAGATAACAGTCTGCACCTTTGAAGGAGATACAGAAACTGCTGGTTAATGCAGAAGAGTTAAGTGCTTCAGAGCACATTCTCAGGACATGTTACTCAGCTTCTAAGAGCAAGTCTTGACTCTTCAATGGAGCAAAAAGGCTTTGCACAGTGGCACTCAAGTAAAATAGGAGCCAGCTGAGATAAAACCAGAGCTATAGTCACCACTATTCACTGGCTTCTTAAAATGAAATACTTTGCTCAACTAACCCATTCTTCTGTGGAAGCATTTCCTCCTTCAAGGGTAACTAACAACAGTTTTCTCTTTGCTCCATGGAGATTTCACTGGTTGAATGTAGGGTGAAAATCAACTAAGCCTGGCCATTTTATTGTCTAAGGAATTGGCATAGTTTGACATCAGTGGCTTCAAAGTGCTGTTTTTATGCCCTTCTGAACAGTTAGATTACTGGCCCATGAAAAACAAATAAAAAACCAGGCTTGCTCTGAATGAAATTCATTTGGTCAGCATCTCTGGTAAAAAGTAAATAAATAAATATAATAAATATATGTAAATAATTAAAATAAATGTAAATAAAAGAAAAAAAATTAAATTCACAATTTTGTGTTTGGTTCTTTTTAATAGGTTTGCTAATGTCATTAGTACCACATTTTTATTCCAGAGCTATCTAAAGACACACCACCACACAGGTAACTTCAGCTCTGCCTCCCTGCATTTCCTTAAAAGATTTGGGCTACAGACCAACAGGAAGCCCACTTTCTCAAGTGGGGCATCTCCTGCCGGTGCTGTGACCTGTGGGAGGAGAGGGGTGACAGGGGGCAGCAGGAGATCTTTTTCCTCTGGGATAGGGATGCACATGATGGACTACAGAATGGTGAGGTGAGCTCTGAAGCCACCTGCAACCTTTACCATGTCTGCACACAGTGGCAGAAGGGGTCAGAAATGCACCCCTTCTATTCCCAGCCACCCCCACATAGGGTGACAGGGACACTGGCATCCAGCTCCTGTTCCTGCTGACTTCTCCCTACCATGAGCCAGAGCACAGGCACTCACTGAGCACATCACCACCATCTGCTCAGGGACAGGAATGTGACATGTTGTTCAAACATGTCCTTTGATGAGGCCATTTTTTGTTTTTTTCCCTGCTTGCTTTATTTTTAAATAGGCTTTTTGGTGGGGAGGACTGGAAGAGATTTGAAATACTCATCATTTCTGATTTCACAAATCTGCAGGAGCCAGAAATTGGCATTTGAGAGACAGAGCAAGAAGGCACCAAGGCAACACATTGCATGACAATATCTTTATAGCCCTTTCTCCAGGTGCATTATTCTTTCCCACCAAACCCTGTTCATTGCTCTCCCAGCCAGAGGCCCCATGGAAAGCTTTCAGTGCTAGTCAGTTGGAAGATGTGCTCAAAAGCTTTTTCCTTCCCTGCAGAGAAAGCACTCTGGGCATCAGTTTGGAGAGGGAAGGAGCTGCCAAATGAGGTAGAAATAGTTCAGCTGTTCTTCCATGGCCTACAAAGAAGAAATCCTTTCCCTTGTCCAGCAGAGATTCCTTCCTGATCTGGGTGGATGAAGGACAGTCTGTTTTCCCTCAGGAAAAGTGCAAAGGCTGGGCACTGTACATCTACACTTGTATAGATTGTAAACTTTGTTAATGCAGTTTCTGCTTTGCTGCCAGTCTCTGCAGCAACCTATGCTGGCCTAAAGAATAGATCACAGATCCATGGCTTGTGTCCAAGCTTAGCCAGAGTCATTTTCCTCAGCTCTCCACTCCAGTTGAACTGTGTTTGGGCTGGGCCTTGTCAAGAGCTGAGGAAAATAGGGACAGAGTTTATCCATCTCAAAACATGAAAAATAAGAGGTGGTTAAGGTATGTATTTTGAATTGGTTCAATTCAAAAATACATATTAAACACCTTTTATATGCATACATCTTATTAAAAGTAATGTAAACCTGGAAAGAAGCAATATTTTTATAGAAAATAAACAGAACCTGAAAGAGAAGTTTCATCTGTTTCAACTTTCTGTCAAAACCATTTCCTTGTATTCCTTATCTTACACTACTAAAATCTAAACAGGGGTTAAATAATTGGTACCAGAGCTTGGAAGGCACAAGGGCAAGCGCTGCCCACTCCACAGAGGCTTACCCAGCGTGGCTGCTCCTGGCTTCAGTCCAGGCCCAGCTGTGCAGGGCAGTAAAAGCAGTTGTGCCTTCACAGTCACACAGCTACATCCCAGGTTCCCATACTGATGAGAAACTCATCTTTACTTGGACTGAAGGCTCACATCTCATTTGTTTCTATCCCCTATCATGACTACTCCAGGAGAGGTATCCCAAGACCTATTAACAGAAGAAAGACCAAAAGTGCTTTTCCCATCTCTATCAGGAAATGGCCCACCTCTCCTCCATCTCCTCCCCACACCTTCCCCATCCACCCAGTTGCTCCCACATCCCTCCCACTTAATTTCCAACTGGAAAAGTGCTGGTCACTGTCTTTTCCAAAGAGGATCACACAACATCCCTTTGGCAATGGCACTGATGATTGTGAAGGAAAGTAATATTAGGAACAAGGTACATGGAGCTAAATTCCTATAAATTAATTTGGAGCTGGAAATGATGAAGCAAGCCTGGTTGAAGTTTGCTGCCAGCTGTCTGTGAACCAGCAGCCAGTGCTCCCAGGAGCTCCCAGGAGCCTTGCTCAGGAACTAGTGCTCGAACGACAGGAGGTAGGAGAGAGATGGCAAGGGCTTTGGAAAAGATTACAGCACGCACAGGAACTGACTTTCCAGCCCAAGAGCAACCTTTACTGGTGCCAAAGGAAGAAGTAATGAAAGAGATTTGTACAGACACAAAGAGGAAGGAGATGACAAAATGATATTCTGTGTCCAACCTCAAGGAAAGGATTTGATGAAAAGAACAAAAATATATGTTGAGAGCCCAAAGGCCAGGAAGCCAAACTGGGAAAGCTGAATGGATCTATCACATCTAAATCCTCAGTAGTCCCAGACACTTTTGTAATCTTACTTACAAAAACAGGAGACATTAGTAGCTTACACAAGACCTGTATGAACCTAAATGAATAGAGCACAATTGGCTCCACGCAGAGACAAGCATAAAGCTTGAATTCAGATTAGTAAAAAATGTTAGGTTAGGAATAGCTATGTAAATATTGCTACAGTTAGCAGAAGAAGGTGCATACAGAAAAAGACAGTACCCAGGATTCTGTACCAGATAGTAGTACCTTGTATTGTTCGGTAATAATTAAAAAGTTAAGTGAGTCTGGACTTGGTCACAGAAAGACACTCAGGTGAAGTAAGCTAGGCCTAGGTTTTATTTTTATATGCCTTTCCTTTAGGGTGCCATCACAACAGTGTGCAGAGAATGTGTTGATCCACAGGAAAAAATATTTTGGTAAGTGCTTTTCTCCAGTCTCTGTAGCCAGCAGAAGTCATGGGCACATATTTTCTCAAATGATCTTTAGCAAAAGACTTCTCTTCAATGATGGTATGACTTTAGTCAGTAACAACAAGTATTTGTAAAATCAGGTAATTCCCCCTAACAAAATTTTAATATCAGCCAGCTACTGAGAGGTCATAACTATAAATGCAGCATTGTAAATGTTGTAGCCATGACAAAAGTGGTAATATATAGCAGAAAAAAAATTCTGTTACAAGAAAGGCTAAGGCATGGACTTATTTCTGTGAAACATCACAGTTTTTTGTGACAGATTATCTGTGTTTCATAGCCAAGGCTTCTGCTTCCAACATTGAACAGAAACATTAGAAATAATACTTTGAAAAAATAATGAAAATAAATTTGCAATTGGAGTTGATGAGCTTAAAGGTCCTTTCTGACCTAAATGTTTCTGTGATTCTATGACTGATTCTATGACTAGCTTTGCTTTTTGTTTGTTTTCTGGAGGCAGAGAAACTGCAAGTGTTGATTTCTAGTCCTAAACATGTATTTAAGACACATGACAAGGCTAATCTCTGAGGTCTTACTGAGACAAATGAAGTCACCTTCAATGTGGCAGATTTTGAATGGGAAAAGCTGAGTCAAGTCTACAAGTCCATTAATATTTGTAATTTTTCTCTTTTCAAAGTTGGGAAGAAGGTTGAGTTTTCCTCTCTGTATGGGATGCTTTCATGGTACATTTAAGATCAGTATAAAATGGTTAGTCAAGTCCAGTACAGAAGCCAGACCACACTCTCTCACTACCCCAAAAACAGTCCTTGTCTTTTTAAGTCTGTTCAGCTTCTTTATCTTGGCCCCACTCCCATCCATACACTTTAACACCTGGCTGTTATTTGAGGTCATGATGCTGCAGGAGACATGACACACAGTGACAAAAAAGCCAGAAATGCAAGGTGTTTCTTGGTAGGAAGTCCTGCTTCTTTTGTCCCTCTTGCCACTGCCCAAATTGCAGTCCTCAGGCATCTCCTCTAAAAGAGACTGGGGGATCAGTTTTAGAAGAAACCTGTGCTAATTGGCCAAAGTTTCTGTGCAACATTTGGATTTTTGGGGTTATTTTAGAGAATTCTAGTCTCCAGCTCACAATTTTCTGTAAATATACTGATAAGTGATATATTAATTCATATGATTTTTTCGAGGCAGGGAATTCAGCATTAGAAGTTCAGAAGCTGCCTCAAGTAAATAAGGACTTTTTTCCTTTTTCAATACCTTTTCACAACCAATCACAGTTACTTTAAATCTCTTTGTCATTATTCATGCCTCATGCAACTCAGTTTCATAAATTCCTTGCAGTAGAAACAACAATTTGACATTTATAAGCATCATTGCAAATATAGAGTGAAAATTAATTTATTATCCTGAAATAGTACAAATGTATGATTGGAAGCAGGATGAGCTGTAATGACTTCTGAATAAAATATTGTAATACTCTGTGTAGTCCATGTTTGTCAACTTACATTTGCTCTGCTGGAACTGGATTTTATTAAGGTAAATTAGCAGCAAGATGGGGATTTATACTTCAGAATTTTGTGCCATTCTCCCATGTGAAATTAGAATATGAGTGAGGCTGATTTTTCCCACCACTGCTTTCTGCAGTTCCACT